GACTTCTGTATCTTTTTCTTCAGTGGGAAATTTCTGATCAAATCCTTTGTAAAGGGTGTGTGTGTGTGTGTGTGTGTGTGTGTGTGTGTGTGTGTGTGTGTGTGTACGCACATGAAACCTGAAGACAAGCTTGGGTGTCACCTTTAGGAATGCCAGTGACCTTCTTTGAGACAGGGTCTCTCATTAGCCCAGAGCTCACCAGTTAGGCTGGCTCGTGGACCTCTGGGGTGCTATTTCTGCCAGCCTGCTGCTGGGATCACAGGCATAGGCCATCACACCTGGTACTCTCCTGTGGGCTCTGGGAATGGAATTCAGTCCAGGACCACACCATCCCCAGCACACTCTGCCGTTTCACTACCCCGCCATCCCCCAGGATGCCATGAAGCACAGACTCCTTGAGCTCACGCTGTAGTTGAGGCTGACCTTGAACTCCTGATCCTCCTGCTTCTACCTCTCAGTGCTGGGATCACAGGCATCTGCTGCCCGCCACACCTTTTGCCCATTTTAAATCAGATTATTAGTGCTTCTTGTTGTTGAATGATGTCACTGAGATTTACAGGGAAGAGAAACGGAGGCCCTGAGAGAGAGTGTGACTCAGTTGAGAACAACGGGAGGCTAGAACTCGAATCTGTGTCCACTGTGACCTAGTAAGTAGGGGCCCACCTTCTCTGCCCTATGAAGCAGCCTCCTGCACCCCACCGCAGGCAGTGTCAGGGCCTGCCCATGCATTTAAAGGTGCAGAGCCCTCACAGCCAGAGGATGGGCCGGAAAGGCTGGGAGAAAGCAGTTCTGAGGAAGCAAACCCACCCTCTCTTCCTCCCCACATCACGAGGACCTGGCTGACGTGGCCCAGGAAGAGGGGACAGCCCGGGCCCTGTGGTTGAAGATCCTATTTATACTGGCTGTTGCAAGTCTTTCCTGCTGGCGATAGGGACGTCACTGAGAGCTGACCTCATCAAAATCGCTGACGCATCTACCCTCACGCCTTGCCTGGATGGTTGTGAGGCCCCGCCCCTGGGCCTCTGGACTACTCCCCACTGCCCCTGTGCAGCATCAAACTCTGGCCCCTCCTCCCTCCAAACCTGACTCCTCTTATAATCTGTTATGGGCTGCAGCCTGTCCCTGGAGTCATAGTGTACAATCCTAACTCACAGTACCTCAGACGTGACTGCATTTGGAAATGAAGCATTTAAAGAGGTAAACCAAAAAGGCTCAGGATTCAGGGCGACCAGATTAGGGAAGAAGACAGAGGCTGGGGAGATGACTTCATCAGTAAAGGGCTTGATTTGCAAACATGAGGACTTGAGTTCAAGCCCCCAGATCTATGTGAAAAGCCAGATGTAGTCATGCATGCCTGCGGCCCCAACACTGTGAAGAAGGAGAAAAGGAAATGCCTGGGGCTTTCACCTGCTAGCCCAGCTCCAGATTCAGGTGAGAGATCCATCTCAAGGGAATAAAACAGAACGACAGAGCAGGATGCACAGTGCCCTCCTATGGCTCCCATGCACACATCTATACTCCTGTGTATGCACACACCACGCACACACATCCACACACACATCCACACACACCCACATCTACCACACAGCATATACATACACACACATTCACATACACACACTCACACACACACACTCACACATTCATACACACACACTCATACACACACACTCATATACACACACACTCATATACATACACACACTCATATACACACGCACACACATCCACACACACATCCACACACACATACACACACCCACATCCACCACACAGCATATACATACACACACATTCACACACACACACTCACACACACACATTCATACACACACACTCATACACACACACTCACACATTCATACACACACACTCATACACACACACTCACACATTCATACACACACACTCATACACACACACTCATACACACGCACACCACATCCACACACACATCCACACACACCCACATCTACCACACAGCATATACATACACACACATTCACATACACACACTCACACACACACATTCATACACACACACTCATACACACACACTCATACACACACACACTCATATACACACACACTCATACATACACACACTCATATACACACGCACACCACATCCACACACACATACATACACACACAACACACACACATATACACACACCATGTACATACACACACACATCCACGTCCACCACATTCTTACATATTACATACACACACCATGTATATACACACACAACACATACACACATATACACACATACCATGTACACACACACATCCACATGTAGCACACATATACACATACACACACATACACACACACCCACATCCACCACACAGCATATACATACACACACATTCACATACACACACTCACATACACACACTCATATACACATGCACATCCACATCCACGCACACACTTGTGTGCTCTATATGCAAATGTGGAGAGTAACAGAGGAAGACACTGACCTCTGCTTAGCTATGACCTGTGGGCCTCCTCAAGCACAGACATGAGTCGTCGGTGCACCTACCCTCAACATACACAGGCATGCATGTACCACACACAGAGAATCAGGATACGATGACTATGTAAGCACACATGAGCGTGTGACCGCCTGCAAGCCAAGGAGCAGCCACATGGGTGGCACATTCCAATAACCCCACACTAGAGAGGTCAATCCGGACTACGTGTGAGTCGGAGGCCAGCCTGGTCTACACAGTGGAGAGCTGGCCTGAGGAAATAAGCAGGGAGGGAGAGGGCCCTGAGAAAGAAGCAGCCCCAGGGACAGCCCAGGTCCACAATGGTAGGAGTGCACAGCCTTCAGGACGAGCCTCATTGTCCTTCTGTAGGCTTCTGCCTTAGAGGGTGCAAATGAGAGGTCGGAAAATGAAGCCGGACTGAGATCCATTCCGCCATAAGGAACGTGCTCGGACATTCTTCTTAGTGATTCCCGATGACACCATTGTTTGCACAAAGAATTTGCCTTGGGCTGGGGATTATAGGTCATCTAGGGAAGGTTTCCATCTACAGGAGGCCGAGTGGAGGTTTCATGCATGTGCCACACTGTTTTTAAAAGTATCCGAGGCTTCGTAGATTTTGGTACCTTTGAGAAGGAGGCCCTGAAATCAGTCACTTGTGGATACCAGGGGTCAGTTGTATCCCATTATGGCTGTTCCAGGAAATAAATATGCCTTAGTGATGGTGGTCCCAGGAGCCTGTGTACACAACATTCAGATTGGCCCCTGAGCTAAGAGAATGGACCTTTGGACACCAGGTAAAATGCACTTCCTTCCTTCCTTCCCTCCTTCCTTTCTTCCTCCCTTCCTTCCCCCCTCCCTCTCCTCTCCTTCCCTCCCTCCCTCCCTCTCCCTCCATCCATCCCTCCCTCCCTCCGTCCCTTCCTTCCTTTCTTCCTTCCTTTTCTTCAGGAGTAGGATGCTCCAGGCATCAAGCATCCAGGCCAGCACCTGCCTCGGTGGACACCGGCAGCCCCTTTTACTTTATTTCATTGAATTTATCTATTGATTTGAGACAGAGTCTCCCTGGCTGGCCCGGAGCTGGCAGTGAGTGAACCCCACTGTCTGCCCCAGGCTGGCCTCTGGCTTACACTCCTGCCTCAGCCTCCCCCACGCCCAGCTTTGGATGCCCTCTCAACTCTGCAGGGTGGCCTCCAGCGGGGCAACCTCACTTCTTCGTGCCTTTGCCTTAAACAGAGGAGATAGTGCAGAGTCCATGGTGTGGGGAAGGAGCAGCAGTGGTTCAGTGGCGCTCTCCAGCCAGATGCGCCTCTCAAGGCTTCCCTCTGTCACAGTGGGACGAGGCAGCTCCCTGCCAGGGCTTGGGTGTAAGGAGAAAGGGGCTGTCCCAGGGTGACATCAGGTACGTGCAATGCAGAAGGAGACCTGACCCTCTGGGGAACAGAACCCTCGGGTGGGCAGAGGTGAGAAATTCAGCAGAAGGAAATGCAGACCTCAAGGGGAGGATCTAGACTGAGCCAGACTGGCGGGTGGCTGCCAAGGGGAGCATTCTGCCCGGCACAGGCACTGAGTGGGTGGGGACACAGCGGCCTCTGGATGGAGAGGATGGGGAGAGGCTTGTTCAATAGATACCTGAGGACCAGTGGCAGGTGGCATGGCCGGGCTGGACTCCTTCAGCAGGGTCCCTGCAGCTGGAGCAGCTCAGGCTTCCTGAAGTTCTAGGGCCTGCACGCAGCCTCCTCTGGCTACCTCGGTCCCCCAAGTTACAGCCTAAGGATGCTCATTCTAGCTTGGTAGACATGACGGGGCTGCCAGGCATGGCCTGTGGACCTGGGTCAGCCTGGGTCTCAGTTTACCACAGTAAAGTAGCCGACCAGCTGGGAGCCCCTGTCTCTGGTGTCAGAAGCCTTCACGTTCAGCCTGTGCTGAGAAGCAGAAGACCCACCCATGATGGATCACTATCTTTCAGAGAAAGTGAAACCTGGTCTCCAACTGCCACCGCAACCCCCCCCCCCACTCCAGCTTCCCCTCTGAGCTCACAGCTTCCCCATCTCCTCCGCCCCCCTGCATCCCGTCCCCCGAAAACCAGTACTTGGAATTGAGTTTTGTCCTTTCCTTTTCCTTCAAAGGCCTTTTTGCCTTTTATGTCCATGTTGGCAGTGGCCTTGTGAGGTGAACCAAGAAATGCATTTCTCTTCTTCATGTCACAGGTGAGGCTCAGAGTGGTTAAGTGACTTGCCTCAGGTCACACAGCATGTCAGAAGGTTTGAGACCTGGTCTCTAATCTCTTGATCCTAGTGTCCAGGTCTCCCTAGTGGATCCTGTCTACAGAGAGGGGACCTGGGATTGGGACTAGGTAATGGGGAGAATGGAAATGAGGAGTTGGGCTAGAGGATGCTGGCCTAGGATTAGAGCCACAATCTTGGGGCCCGAGTCTGGCTCTGTGCCCAGAGCCTGGTGGTTTCCGCTCACAGATGTCCCGACAGCCCAAGCGAGAGGGTGGGAAGGGCACTCAACGAGGAAGATGTCTGGCTCCCTTTAGTCCTCAACCTCGGTGTCCTGTGAGATTGGTGGTTCCTCGGCCAAGGGTGGCCTGGGCTTCCAGAGGCCTGGCTTGCAGTTCCTGCTCTGACCCCGGGGCTGATTCCCTGCAGATGGCACGGACCCCCATGCTGCCCGCTCACCCCAAGAAGGCTGAGGCTGCGGTTTACATCATCCTTGGGCGTGGGGCTGACCTCGAAGAACGAATTCGAAGAAAACGGGAGGAGGAGCGGGCTTGCCATGGCGCCCGGCGCCCATTGGACGCCTGTGGAGACTTTGGTTTTTGGGGTCATGTTCCCAGAAGGCCTGCCCTCCCCCTCCCCCCTCCCCACCCACCTCACGAGGTGTTGGCCAATCGCCCTGTCGGGCATAAAGTGGCTGCCAGCCTGCAGGACACCCAGCCGAGCCCTGTCACCCCAGAGCGGCACGGGCCCAATCGCCAGCACCCAGCATGCAGGCACAGCTTCCACAGAGAGCAGTACTCAGTAAGTACTTCCTTCCTTTCTGCCCTCCCAGGCACAGCCGTGCCAACTGGCTTCTGACCTTCGGGAGCTGCAGATCTAGCGTCAGGTGAAGGATGCTGAGGAAAAACTAGGAGGTCAGGACCCACTGAGACTCCAGCATACCCACAGGTGGAGATGCATTCCTGGAAGGCTTCCAGAGGGAGGTGAAGTAGACTGCGTTGGGGACCAGGGTATGAGGGGAGAGGATAGAGCGGGAAGAAGCTGCGGAAGCCAGAGGCAGGTGCGAGAGGAGCAGAAAAGGAAGTTGCAGGAGATCTGTGAGGAAGTGCAGCCAGTCCTAGGATGGGGCCTCCTTGCCCTGATTCAATTCCCAGGGTCTAGGGTAGATGGAAACTCAGCCGAGCCTGAGGGCTTCAGATCATCACACCACAAACACAGCCACACCCCCATGGGGACAAGCAAACAAAGTAACTGATGTGGGTGAGGGTCCTCCCTCCCACGGACACAGGAAGGCTTACCTGCAGACCAGAGCCCCCAGTGAACGGGGCAGGTCCCTCTGTGCTTCACACAGGCCTATTGGCCCACCCTACAGCACTGGTCCACGTGCACCTGTTCCGTGCTCACCGTGGGCCCTTGCTGGCAGTGTAGCTACAGACACCTGGGGAAGTTGGGGAGGGGACTTGTGGTTGGCACGCCTGGGCTCCTGCCCCTCCCCAGCAGCTGGCCCTCCCCAAGGGGCTGGTCGGTTTGTAGGAAGGGAAGGATGGTGTCACAGTCTTCCGGGCCATTGCACCACAGGCCCCTTCCGACCACGTGGCTGCCGGTGCCTAAGGGTGGGGGCCAGTGAGCTGGAACTATGCTAGTACCCTAACCTCTGCAACGTTCTTGGAGACTCTCAGTATCGCTGGTGTGTGCATGCATGGGGGGTTTTGACCGGGAGGCAGGAAGGTCCAGGAGAGTGTGGGGCATGTGTGACCTGGGCAGGACTTTCTCTTGCACCTAGTTAACCTTTCAGTAGATTGGGTGTCAGCACTGGCCAGCTCTGGGGGTGGAGAGGTGCCTTCACCTGGCTTTGTGAACAGAACTTGGGGACCACTCCATTCTGCCTACATGGAATGTTAAGTTCTGTTCCAGGGTTAGGGAATTGACCAACCCTTGTGTGAGGCCAGACGTCCCATAGTGGACTCATGCCGCCGTCCCGTGCCCCAAGGGTCAGGACAGCGATGCTGTGTGCAAACACCCAGCTTCCCTACTTGGTAACTGCAGCCACCCCGTCACCCTGTTTGGTCTGTGGGGTGACTCACTGGGAAGGTGGCAGCCGCAGTGAGTGTTCCTGTCAGACACAGTGCCTGCTGCATGCCCAGCTCCTGCACAACCAGACATAGCGCTGTACATACCACAGGTCAGGTAACCATACCCTTCCTTCTCTGCCCCAGGTCTGGCCCTCAGTCTCCTGTTCCTGAGCATGGCACGGGCCGCACGCGGTTGTTCCAGCTCCTCCCCACAGCTCCTCAGCCAGCTGCAGAGTCAGGCGAACATCACAGGGGACACGGGATCACTCTTGGAGCCCTATGTAAGCCCCAGCCAGCCCTTAGGGCACCTGAGCCTCAGAGAATCTTGGGGACTAGAGAGAGTGTGTGCATGGAGGAAGCTGAGTTATTCCAGGGATGGTGAGGTGGCCTGGCTTCCAACTCCATTCCTTGGTGGCCCCTGCTGCCTGCATGGCTTGGCGCTTTGTTCTAGGTTCCCAGATGTGGCAGTGAGCAAACTAGCCCAGTGCTTCTGCAGCCCCCGCCCCATCTAGGGACCCTCATCCCATGCACTGCATGCACAGTGACCCCGGGGCCCTGGCACACTCCCGTCCCATCTCTGCCGCTCAGTTATCTCTTCTGCTTTGGCTTTTGTATCTCTCTGCTGGAAAGACCACACAAGAGCTAGTGTTTCAAAGGCAGGTTTGTCTGCGTGTTTGGGGGGGTTCTGGCATGCATCCCTCACTCTCTTCTTTCCTCAGATCCACCTCCAAGACCTGAACACACCTACCCTGAGAGCTGCCTGCACAGAGTACCCCGTGGCCTTCCCGAGTGAGGACACCCTGCGGGCACTGAGCAAGCCTCAGTTCCTGAACACTGTCCACGCCACACTGGGCAGAGTCTGGCACCAACTGGGTGCTTTAAGACAGAAATTCCTGAAGACTCGGCCTTTTCCAGCCCTGGAGAGGGCCAGGTGGAACATCCAAGGCATCAGGAACAATGTCTACTGCATGGCCCAGCTGCTCAACCACCCCCTGGAGATACCTAAGCCCACACAGCCAGGCTCTGGGGCCTCGATGTCCACTGCCACAACACCAAGCATTTTCCAGACCAAGCTAGACAGCTGCCGCTTCCTGTGGAGCTACCACAGCTTCATGGGCTCAGTGGGGAGGGTCTTCAGGGAGTGGAGAGATGGCTCCAGCCGCAGCCGGAGACACAGCCCTAGACACAGCCTGCTCCGGGCCTGGCACAAGGGAGCCAGCAGAATCAGACCCTCCAGGAGCAGCCAGAGCCCCATGTCCAGGGTCCAGGTGCCCCGGTAGCCTTAGGACACACTGACGGACACAGCATAGTCTGTGGATGCAGGATGTCGCCTCTCAGAGGCTTTGGGAGCTGCTCCTGCATTCAGAGTTGTGCAGAACAGCACTTTAAGGTGTGGTGTTGGGGGGCCCTCCCACCACAGCTGGACTGTGAGGATAGTCAGGTTGTGGTGCCCCACTCCAAGCCACCAGTCCGAGCAGGGCAGCTGGGTCAGGCCACGTGGGCCTGGCTTTCCATTGATTCAGGGGTCTGATGACACAAGCTGACTCACAGCTGGGCTGAACCCCCTAGGCTGTTGTTGGTCCTTTCCTCTCATGACTTGAGTTGTTGCCTCCAGACTTCCTCCTTTCCCTGTGGCTGGGTTCTAAAGGGAAGGTCAGGCCCAGGACTCTCCCCCATGCCTCATCCCACTCAGACCACATACCTGGACATCTGGGAGACCTCATGTTTGGCAGTTGCGACAGAGGAAGGGTGTCCTAAAAGGAGCATTGATCTAGCAGTTCAAGGGAAGAGAGCTCAGAGTCCTTTCTGGTTCCCTAAGTGGGCAGGACACATTTTGAACGTCAGTGTTCTCTATGGAAAGCTGAGTTTGGGTCCTTATGTAAGGCCCCCTCCTCCTGTCAGCTGCGGAACTCTGTGGCACAGGGTGAACATCAAAGTCTCTGTAAATGGGAACATACGGTGCAAACGGTCATGGGGTGGGTTTATGGGAGATCTCCCAGTGCCCACAAGCCCCATCTTGGGTCCTCGCTGCTTGTTGCTCCCTCTGGTGGTGAGTTGTGGAATTTTCACACTCTGAACCGGTCCTCCTGGAAGAGGACTCAAAAGCTGATGAGCAATTAATTAATTACTTGGAGGGACATGACTAATTTATTGATTTTTTTTATCAGTTTTTAATCCGTTTTATATTTATATGGCTTATTTATAATGTATATTTAATGTTAATATTTTGCTAACGTATTTAAAACTTGCCGAGTTTCTAAAGTTGGTGTCAGTCTTTTCTTATGGGACAAGGTTTGGGGGCCTGCCTCAGGGGAGGTCTTTAGGCCAAAGATGTCTATGCTCTTGGATGGGTTAGAGGTCTGAGCATCACTCAGAAAGGGAAGTCACATGGCCACAGAGTTGTAACATACACATATCTATTCATCCCAGAATAAGACCCCATGACAGACCAAAGTTCAAGTTCAAGTTGGTGACCCAGTGAGTTTTATTGGTGTCACACACAGGAGTATGGGTGAGGGGTTACTACAGGAGCAGGCTTGACTCAACGGCACCATTATCACTGGAAAGCCCACCCAGCTGCAAGGAGTGGCATGCTGTCACCTGGATCCACTGTCCCCTCCCTGAGGTATCAGTCTAGCGCCCTTCTCCAGCAGTACTCCTCATTTTCTGGGGAGGGCCCCTCCAAACTCTAAGTTTTTGTTCTCCAGGACTTACGAATTCTGATTTCACCTTCTGAGCCTCCTGAGCTGCCTTTTCCCGGGAGGGTGCTTCAGTTCTGAGGAAATTGCCACAGAACCCTCTCACTGAATCTGGAGGCTGTGTAACTCTCCCTCCCCAGCTTGGGGGTCACAGACACATGCCACCTGCCCCCCCATCCCACTTCAAAGATTTTATTTTTATCTATGTATATCTGTGCTCTCTGCACATGACTGCAGTGCTGGAGGAGGCCAGAAGAGGGCATCAGATCTCTTGGGACTGAAGTTATAAATGTGAAAGCATGTGAGTGCTGGGAATCAAACCCAGGTCCTCTGCAAGAACAGCCAGTGTTCTTAACTGCTGAACCATCTCCCCAGTCCTGGACAGACAGATTTTAAACAACCAAAAATTTCACCTTTTTTTTTTTTTCAAGACAGGGTTTCTCTGTAACTTCGGAGGCTCTCTTGGAACTAGCTTTTGTAGATCAGGCTGGCTTCGAACTCACAGAGATTCACCTGTCTCTGGGATTAAAGATTATTTATTTTTATTTTATGTCTATGTGTTTATTTGCACAATAGAAGAAGGCATCAGACCCCATGAGACTACAGATATAGATGGTTGTGAGCCACCATGTGGGTGCTGGGAATTGACCCCAGGACCTCTGGAGGAGAGTCACCTCTCCAGTCCCTCATATTTTCACACTTTAAAAAAAAGCTGCATGGATGTATTCCCCCAAGTGAGAATCATGTGTACTCTGTGGTTGTCCTGTGATTGGAGATAGCTTTATACTAAGAATATTTAGGGGATTGAGAAGATGGCTCAGTGCTTAAGTGCACTGGCTGCTCTTCCAGAGGACTGGGGTTCAATTCCCAGCACCCACATGGCAGCTCACAGCTCTCTGTAGCTCCAATTCCAGGGGATTTGACACCTCTCACAGACGTGCATGCAGGCAAAAACACCAATGCACATGAAATAAAAATAAATAACAAAAAAATCTTAAAAAATAATATTTGACATGATATTTATTTATGAGCCTTTGACTATTATAAAATGAAGTTTTAAATTAAATTAACGCACTTACTTAGACCCTGTTTTGAAATGCAATTTTATCTTCCTATATAGATATAAACACATACACACATATATATATAATCTAAACTTCATAGATAAATAAAATCTTTATCCTATGACTAATAAATGTTGTTTGATATAATTAGCATTTTAAGGGTTTAGAAAACCCGTAATAGACCCAAAGACATCATTTTAATAGATTTTAAGATGTTTGGTGTGCTCAAGTTTATAAGGTAGTATGTGCTTATCAGGCCTTTGAAATTTTATTATTTTTATGTGTATCATGTTTATTTTACCCGCATGGTTGTTTTGCCTGCAAGTATGTCTGTACAACACTGAGTACCTGGTACCTGAGGTGGCCTGAAGAGGGCATCAGATCCACTGAAACTAGGGTGACCAATGTTATGAGTTGCCACATGTGTTGTTAACCACTGAGCCATCTCTCTAGTCCCTTTACCAGGCTTTTTGTTTTGGTTTTAGGTTTTTGGGATAGAGTCTCTCCGTGTAGCCCTGGTTGACCTGGAACTCACAGAGATCCACCTGTCTCTGCCTCTGCCTCTGCTGAGACTAAAGGTGTGCACCACCAGGCCCAGCATTATCAGGCTTCTTAATACAGCCCCAGAATACAGTTGTAAACCCTCACATATGTGTTTTAACTAGGAATGCAAAAAATAAAAATAGTAATTTTAGCACACTAAAAACAACTTTAAAAATGATTAGCATAGACACACATGACACAATTACATAGAATCTGGGGCACTCATTTACAAAAGTAGAAAGTTTATATCCCTGTATCTTTAAAATATGAGAAAGGGGATGCTGACCTGGCTCACAGGTTAAGAGCACTGGCTGCTCTTCCACAGGACCTGGGTTCAGTTCCCAGCACCAGATATAAGAAAGGGATAGTAGCTGCATTGGTTTTCTTTGGGGGGGGTCAACTGGACACAAACTAGGCTATCTGGGAAGAAAGAACACCAACCAAGAGAATACCTGTATCAGGTTGCCTGTAGTCAAGCCTATCTTGCATTTTCTTGATAAATCATTGGCGTGGGAAGGCCCTGCTCATGGTGGGTGGTACCACCCCTGGGCAGGGGTCCTGGGTTCTGTATAAGCAGCACCCTCCACGGCCTCTGCATCAGCTCCTGCCTCGACTGCCTGGCCTGACTTCCTTCAGTGAGGGATTGTGACCTGAGTGTAAGCTGAGATAACCGTTTCCTCCCCAAGTTGCTTTTGGTCCTTGTGTTTCATCACAGTAATAGAAACCTAAACTAAGATAGTAGCATAAAAGATCAAAAGATGGCACTTGTCATGCAGACTTAGATACTATCACTTCCTCCTTTAACAGCCCAACAGCCCAGAGGGAGATATGCTTTTACTGATGAAAATGTTTTTCTCAGTGCTGTTTTAAGACAAAGGTACACACACACACACACACACACACACACACACACACACACACACACACACACAAAGTTTACAGTGAGGGTAAATTACATTCCCCATGATTGTATTTGTATATAAAACGGAAAAAAAAGAAATCAAAGAAGTTTTGGATTAAGCATCACCTACTGCCCCACTGTCCATCTGGAATTCGGTTCTCTTACCTAAATGCTGACCAAACTCTTTTCTTGCATTAGTCCTAGGACTTGACAGGCAGATCTCTGTGAGTTCGAGGCCAGCCTGGTCTACAAGAGCTAGTTCCAGGACAGGCTCCAAAGCAATACAGAGAAACCCTGTCTCAAAAACAAACAAAAAACAAAAAAACAAAAAACAAAAACAAAAACAAAAACAAAAAAAAAAAAAAAAAAAGAAGAAGAAGAAGTCAAACTCTCATTCACAACACAGAGAGAAGAAGCCCGTGGACTCCTCCCTGCCTACGCTGCTGGCTTTCCAAACAACAGAAACAGGAAAGAAATCAGAGGGCAGTGTTAAGACTCAGGGGAAGCCAAGCAACAGTGGTCATGCCTTTAGGAAGGCAGAGGCAGGTAGATCTCAGAGTTTGAGGCCAGCCTGGTCTACAGAGCAAATTCCAGGAGAGCCAGGACTACAGAGAGAAACCCTGTCTTGAAAAACCAAAATCAACCAAACAACAACAAACAAAACAGATCCTTAAACTAGATAGTTGGAAACAAAAAGGGGTCTACCAAACAGGGTACCTAAATAACCAGCTCAGAAAAAACAAATGGACATTGACCAAACCAAAGTGAGGTCTGAGAGAACCCAGGAAAGAGCCCATTGCACTCAGGGGATGCCGGATGTCACCCCTCAGAGGCCTTGGAAGCTGCTCCTGCATTCAGAGCTGTGTAGAACAGCACTTTAAGTCGTGGTGGTGGTGTTGGGGGCCCTCCTGCCACAGCTGGACTGTGAGAATAGTCAGGTTGTGGTGCCCCACTTCAAGCCTCCAGTTCGAGCATAGCGACTGGGTCAGGCCACTTGGGGCTGGCTTTCCACTGATTCTGGGTTTGAATTCGTCCACCCAGGTGACTCCTCTGGTAAAAAGTAGATTATTTTCAGAGCCCGTTTGTTTGATACCATGACAGTCAATGCAGACACACAGCTCTTACCTCAAACAGGTTGAGAGATGGTTTATTCTGGAGCTGAATATGAGTGGCCATAGTCAGAGAACACTCCAAATTTCATGTTGCAATGTGGGAGTTGTTCTATTAAGTTTTTATAGCAAACAGGATAAAGGATGTCACAAATTGGGGCTGGAGAGATGGCTCAACACTTAAAAGCAGGTACTGGTTGTCCAGAGGACCCAAGTTCAATTCCCAGAACCCACAGCAGGTGTAATTTCAGCTCCAGGGGGACTCTCACTCCTGTGGTCTCTGAAGGTACTGACCAACATAACCACATAATTTCAGATATAACAACAAATCTCTAACAAGTCATAGATGAGACACTTTTCAAACACGTTAGTAGAAACATCAGATGGAGTTTCAACCTGAAGGTGTAACTTTATTCTGGGATGGTGTGTGTGTGTGTGTGTGTGCATGTGTGTGTATGTGTGTGTGTGCATATGTGTGTATATGTGTGTGTGTGCATGCCTGTGTGTGTGTGTGTGTGTGTGTGTATGTATGTGAATGATGGGTGTATTTAATGGATTTGTGCACTGATGAGGATATATGATGGCTATGTGCTAATGGCTATATATGATGGACGTGTGTGTTGATAAATTGGTATGCTGTGTTTTTTTTTTTTTTTTTTTTTTTTTTGCCTCATTTTGAAGCCTGAAGCCTGAATGTTGAAACAGACACTTAGGAATGCAAATATGTTTTGTGATCACATACCATATGTGGGAATAGGGGATGTTTCTAGGCTGGGTGGTCATGTGCACAAACCAGGTGTGCCGCCCTCATGTGTGTAGCAACAGAGGGCACAGGTCTGCCTGTTGCTTGGACCACAGTAAGTCTGTCAGTGTCCCTGGAATGAGTCACAGCCACACCCCTGCCAGCCAACACCCTACTGGCTCTGTGGCAGGTCAAGAAGACGCA